TTATAGGGAGACAGAGCGTGGATGTGGTGAACTGCCATGGGTAGATGGGTGGGACTACTGGTAGGTGGGCTGGCTGGGGACGTGATTGGTTATTGGGGAAACGAAGCATAGCAAGTTTTGGCGAGGTGTTTTTGGCCTTGGGCTGGGGGTTGAGCGCTTGGTTTGCTGCTGAATGTAGATTTGGTATGCAGAGGTAAGTGTGGAGAATTCACGTGGGGAAGCCAGATGCTTAGTAATGTGCTCAGAATAATAACGCAGTTATCAGGTGCGAGCAGGGATGGGTGTGTCCATTTAAACTCCCAGCCAGGCAACTTTACCTGGAGTAAGATGGTATCTCATTGTGGTTTTGATTTGCATCCTGATGATTAGTGATGGTAATCATTTTTTTCATATATCTATTAGCCATTTGTATGACTACTTTTGAGAAATGTCTATTCACATCCTTTGCTCATTTCTAAATGGGATTTCATTTTTTAATTGTTGAATTGAGTTTTTTGTATGTTTTGGATATTCGTTCCTTGCTGAATAGTTTGCAAATATTTTCTGCCATTCAACAGATTGTGTCCTCACTCTGTTGATTGTTTCCTTTGCTGTGCAGAAGCTTTATAGTTTAATGTAGTCCCATTTGTCCATTTTTGTTTTTGTTATCTGTGCTTTTGAGGTCTTAGCATTAAATATTTACCTTGACCAATGTCTTGAAGTGTTTTCTCTATTTTTTCTCCTAGTGGTTTTATAATTTGGGGACTTATATTTAAGTCTTTAATCCATCTTGTGTTGATTTTTGCATATGGTAAGATATAAGGATATAGTTTCATTCCTTTACATATGGATATTCATTTTTCCCAGCACCATTTATTGAAGAGGGTGTCCTTTCCCCAATGTTGTTCTTGGTTTCTTTGCTGAAAATCAAAGTGAACATGTAGATTTATTTCAAGAATCTTTATTCTGTCCTATTGATCTGTGTTTCTGTTTTATACCAATATCACACTGTTTTGATTACTATAGCCTTGTAATATATTTTGAAGTAAGGTAGTATGACACCTCCAGCTTTGCTCTTCCTTTTTGAGATTGCTTTGGCCATTTGGACTCTTTTTTGGTTTCACATAAGTTTAGGGTTTTAAAAAATAAGTCTCTGAAAATGATGTTGATATTTTGATAGGGATGGCATTGAATCTGTAGATTGCTTTAGGCAGAATGGACATTTTAACTATATTAATTCTGATCATTGGGCATGGGATGTCTTTCCATTTGTTCATGTCCTCTTCAATTTATTTATCAGCGATTTGTAGTTTTTCTTGTAGAGATCTTTCATTGCCTTGGCTAACTTTATTCTTGGGTATTTAAATTTTTTGTAGCTATTCTAAATGAGGTTGTCTTCTTTATTTTTCTTAACTGGTTCATTATTGGTGTATAGAAATACTGATTTTTCTATGTTGATTTCATATCCTGCAACTTTACTGAATTTATCTGGTCTAAAAAACTTTTTTTTTGGTGAAGTATTTAGGTTGTGCTAAATGTAAGATCATATTATCAGCAAAGAGGGACAGTTTGACTTCCTCTTTTCCAGTTTGGATACATTTTAGTTCTTTCTTTTGCCTGATTGCTCTGGCTAGGACTTTAAGTACTAACCCAACTAGGAATGGTCAAAGTGGGCATCTTTATCTTGTTCCAGTTCTTAGAGGCTTTTACGTCGTCACCATTCAGTATGATGTTAGCTGTGGTTTTGTTGTGTATGGCCTTTACTATGTAGAGGTACATTCCTTCTATGCCTAGTTTGTTAACAGTTTTTTTTTTAATTATGAAGAGATTTTGAATTTTATCAAATGCTTTTTCTGCATCTGTTGAGATGATCATATGGTTTTTGTCCTTAATTCTCTTGATGTGATATATTTATTGATTTGCATATTTTAAATCATCTCTGCATCCCTGGGATAAATCCCACTTGCTTGCTTTATATTATTTCTTGATGTGCAATTGAATTTAGTTTGCTAGTATTTTGTTGAGGATATTTTCATCTATGTTCATCAGGAAGATTGGCCTGTGGTTTTCTTTCTTTGCTGTGTCTTTGTCCAATTTTTTTATCAGAGTAATGCTGATAGAATGAGTTAGAAAGAATTGCCCTCTTTTTTTTTTTTTGAGAGAAGGAAAGAAAAACAAGGAGTGAAGGAGAGTAAGAAAGAGGAAGAAAAAGTGGGAGAGAGAACGGAAATATTGCTTTATTCTAAAAAAAAATGGGTATTAATAATGGCCAATCAGTATTTCATTTAAACCTACGAGTAGGTGTGATGTGGCATTGACAAGAATGTATATTTTGTGTATTTGAAGTGGAGAGCTCTATAAATATTTATTAAGTTTACTTGTTCTGGATCTGAGTTCGAGTCCTTGATATCCTTATTCATTTTCTGTCTCATTGAGCCTAAGTCTCTATGTATCTGGGTGTTAGGATCGGTAGCTCTTGTTGTTGCATTGATCCTTTTACCACTATATCTTTGTTGCTTTAAAATCTATTTTATCAGATATGAGAATTGCAACTCCTGCTTTTTATTTATTTATTTATTTTTGCTCTCCATTTGGTTGGTAAATCTTTCTCCATCCCTTTGTTTTGAGTCATTATGTATCCTTGTGTGTGAAATGGGTCTGGATGTAGCATACCATTGGGTTTTGGCTGTATCTTTTGATTGGGGGATTTAGTCAATTGAAATTTAGGATTACTGCCATTTGATGTTAACTGGCTGTTTTATCCATTCATTGATGTAAATTCTTCTTTATGTTGATGCTCTTTATTTTATCGTATATTTTTAGAAAGGCTAATACTGGTTGTTTCTCTCTATGTGTAATGCTTCTTTCAGAAGCTCTTGTGAAGAAGGCCTGGTGTTAATAAAATCTCTGAGTACTTGCTTGCTCATAAAAGTCACACGCTGGCGACCTGTGTGACTCCACCACGGGGAATCTTCTGCTCCATGAGCGACCAAATTTTGTTTGAAAGTGTGGCGTCCTCTTGTTCTCTGCGCTTTAACTGGGAGCTGCAATTCCGAGATGTTAGTGATCCGCCATCTTGGATCGTTCTCTCCAGAATTGCCCTCTTTAAAAATTTTTTGGAATAGTTTGAGGACAACTGGTGTTAGTTCTTCCTCAAAAGTACAATAGAATTTGTCAGTGAAGCCATCTGGTCCTGGAGTTTTCTTTGTTGGAGACTTTTTATTATTGCTTTAATCTTATTACTTGTTATTGGTCTGTTGAGATTTTCTGTTTCTTACTGATTCAATATTGGTAGGTTGTGTATTCTTAGAGCCAGAATGCTTGTTCCTAGGTACTGCAAGGGAAATTAACATGCAGACAAAAAGTTTTCCGAGCACGGCAATTATACTTTCTGCAGGAAAGGTGCTCTCATTAGCCATTTTGCCATGAGAGTACGATGAACAAAGCAAAGACAGGCATATTACTTCTTATGCATTGGCTTCTTACCGCTGTGTCTACTCTCCATTGATTGGAGCCACACCTCACAATCTAAACTGAACCGGATTGGCTAACAACTTCAAACTTTTCTAAATAGGTAAAGGCAATGGAGAACAAAGGAAAAAAGAAATTTCTTACAGAAGGGGCATAGGCTGTGAGCTGGGACATTTCTGTGACCTGTCTAGCACAAATATCATGGTTAAAGTATAGGGACACAGAATGTACTTATTCCCTTAAATCTAACATTCTTTAAGAAGAAGGGGAAGTTTGAAGAGGAACTTTTTACTTTTTACATGTATGCACAGAAATTTTCCATTTCTTCTCAGTTTTCCAGTTTATTTGCGTATAGTTATTCAAAATAGTTTCTGATAATCTTTCGTATTTCTGTGATATCAGCTGTAATGTCTCCCTTTTCATTTCTGATTTTGTTTAGGTAGTTTTTCTCTGTTTTTCTTGGTTAGTCTAGCAAGTGGTTTATCAATTTTGTTCATCTCTTTAATTTTTCATCTTATTCATCCTTGGTAGTTTTTTTTTTCATTGATCATTTGTAATGTTTTAAAAGTCTCTATTTTGTTTGGTTCTGCTGTGCTCTTATCTATTTATTTTCTTCTGCTAATTCTGGGTTTAGTTGGTTCTTGCTTTTCTAGTTCCTTGAGGTGCATCAGATTGCTTATTTGAAATCTTTCTCCTTTTTTTTTTTTTTTTTTTTTTTTACTAGGCAAAGAACTTTATTAACCTTGGTTTCAAACTTGATTCCCAGGCTTCTTCGGCTTAATTAGCTGCAAAGAATGAATTGTGTATAAGCAAAAAACTGAAAAGAGCTGCAGTGTCCAAGGGGCTTGGGCTTAAAAATATTAGAGATCTAGATTTTATCAGATCCATAAACAAAAATTTCTTAAAAAGCAGTCATAATATAAAATAGCAGCTCCCAGTAACTTCTTCAAGTTATATCTTCAGAAGTTGACTCAATTCAGTTTGCCTCATTCTTGGAAGCCTCATCAAAATTCTCCACAAGAAAGACAGTGTGGCGATTCCTCAAGGCCTTAGAAATAGAAATTCCATTTGACCCAGCAATCCCATTACTGGGTATATATCCAAAAGACTATAAATCGTTCTACTATAAGGACACATGTACACGAATGTTCATTGCAGCACTGTTTACAATAGCAAAGACCTGGAATCAACCCAAATGCCCATTGATAATAGACTGGATTGGAAAAATGTGGCACATATACACCATGGAATATTATGCAGCAATCAGAAATGATGAGTTAGTGTCGTTTGTAGGGACATGGATGAATCTGGAGAACTTCATCCTCAGCAAACTGACACAAGAACAGAAAATGAAACACCGCATATTCTCACTCATAGGTGGGTGATGAAAAAAGAGAACACATGGACACAGAAAGGGGAGTACTAAACACTGGGGTCTATTGGGGGGAAAAGGGGAGGGCCAGTGGGAGGGGGAGGTGGGGAGGGATAGCCTGGGGAGAAATGCCAAATGTGGGTGAAGGGGAGAAGAAAAGAAAGCACACTGCCATGTGTGTACCTACGCAACTGTCTTGCATGCTCTGCTCATGTACCCCAAAACCTATAATCCAATAAAAAATTAAAAAAACAAAAAAAACAAAATTCTCCACAAGATCTGGAACTTCATCATCATCCTCCTCTCCAGTAGCAAGCGGTGCTTTTCCATCCACAGATTGTTTGGGCAGAGCTTCAGCCAGTCTCCTTAAACTAGTCAGACTGTCTGCCCCAAGCTGGTTTAAGATGCTGGGTAGCATTTCTGTCAGCTGCTTTGTCTCAGCATGGCCTGTAATGGTGAAAGTGTTCGCTGCCAGAGATGCCTGAACTTTAGGGTTGTTAAAGTGGATCACTGTTCCTTGGTTTGTAAACATATTCACCTCTTCAATACCAGAGATATTGTTCACCCCTAACTTCTTTAAGGAGAACTGAAGTTTTTTATCATCTGCTGTAGCTGTTCTATGAACCACCTTCTTCTTTCTGTGAGCAGTTCCTTTCCCAGCAATGCGCACTTGTGCCTGCAGTTTGGCGAGTTTTTCCTGGTTCATGATTGTTTCTTTCATCTTGTCGGAGCGGATAAGGGGTCGCGCGGGGGACTAGGGTTGGTGCTCACAGGGCCTCGGGTGGACCAGCTGAAATTAGGCGCACATACGCGGGGACGCAAGATGGCAGCTAAAGGGCAATCTTTCTCCTTTTTTGACGTAAGCCCTTATTGCTATAATATTTCCTCTTAGCACTGTTTTTGCTGTACCTTATAAGTTCTGATATGTTGTGTTTTGATGTTCATTTCTTTCAAAAATTTTTTGATTTACTCTTTAATTTCTTCCTTGGTCTAATGGTCATTCAGGAGCATGTTGTTCAATTTTCATGTATGTGTACAGTTTCCAAAGTTTCTCTTGTTACTGATTTCTAGTTTTATCTGTTGTGGTTGATATGGTTATGATATTAAAAATTTGTTGAGTCTTATTTTATGTCCTAATGTGTGGTCTATCCTGGAGAATGGTTCATGTGCTGATGAGATGAATCTGTACTCTGTAGCTGTTAGATGAAGAGTTCCGTATATATCTGTTAGGTCCATTTGGTCTAAAGTGCAATTTAAATCCAATGTTTCCTTCTTTTTGTTTTTTACTTGTGCTTAATACAATGTGATCAATATTTCATGGTTAAATTTCTGTCTATATAATCTGTTTAACGCAGAGAATGGGGTGTTAAGTCTTGAGCTCTTAGTGTATTAGAGTTATTTCTCCCTTTAAATCTAATAATATTTGCTTTATACATATGGGTGCTCTCATGCTAGGTGTGTAAATAAGTCTATGTTTAAAATTATATCATCTTCCTTAATTGATCATTTTATTATTATATAATGACCTTCTGTGTCTTTTTGTACTGTTTTTAACTTAAAGTCTGTTTTATCTGATATAAGTATAGCTACTCCTGCTTGCTTTTGATCTGTTTGCGTAGAATGTCTTTTTCCATCCCTTTACTTTGAGTCTGTATGTGTCTTTACAAGTGAGATGAGTTTCTTGTAATCTGTAAATCATTGGGTCATTAAAAAAAACTATTCACCCAGTCTGTATCTTTTAAGTGAAAAGTTTAATCCATTTACATTTAAGGTTATTATTGATAGATGCCTTTTGGGACTCCAGAAATTCTAATATTTGGTCATATTATGGTGTCTCATATGTTATTTAGGCTTTGCTCATTTGTTTTTATTTCTCTTTATTTTTGTCTGACCATGTTATTGAAAAGACCTGTTTTCAAGTTCTGAGATCTTTTCTTCTGCTTGTTCTAGTCTATTGTTGAAGTTTTCAAATGTTGAAAGTAAAAAAAAAAAATCCGTCTTTTAAATTATTTTTCTAGGATTATATAAATTTCTTTTTCATTAGTACCTGTTGCTGGAGAGAATTATTATGTTCCTTCGGAGGTGTCATATTTTCTTTCTTTCTTTTTTCTTTTTTTTTCAGACAGAGTCTCATTCTGCCACCAGGCTGTGGTGCGTGCAGTGGTGTGATCTTCGCTCACTGCAACCTCCACCTCCTGGGTTCAAGTGATTCTCCTGCCTCAGGCTCCTGAGTAGCTGGGATTACAGGCATGTGCCACCACGCCCACTAATTTTTGTGTTTTTAGTAGAGATGGGGTTTCACCATATTGGCCAGGATGGTCTCGATCTCCTGACCTTGTGATCCACCTGCCTTGGCCTCCCAAAGTGCTGGGATTACAGGCGTGATTCACTGCGCCCAGCCCATATTTTCTTTTTTTTTTTTCATATTTCTTGTGTTTTTACATTGATGTGTGCACATCTGGTGTAACAGTTGCTTTTTCCAATTTTTTGAATTTACTTTTTTAGGGGAAGACTTTTTCCTGAAGATGTATCTATGGTATTGATTGCATAAGGCACTTTGACTTTGATACTGAATGCATGTAGTAGTCTAGTCTTTGTATGATTTCTTTGGCTGTAAATAGTGTCAGTGGTATCTATGATTTTCTCAGTAACTTAGAGTGTGGTTATTGGTGGAGACTGTGATGAAATTTTGCTGAGGACTAGAATACCAGGAGGGTCAGTCTTTGGGCCCCAGTGGTGGCATTAGTAGGTTGAGCATTCTTGTCTTTGGGCTCCAGAGCGTCATATGCCGGCACTGGTGTTATCAGGTCCAATAGAGCTGATTCTTGGGCATCCAAGTGGCTTGCTCAGAGGCTGATACTGTCAGCAGTGAGTTGGGTGAGTGGATAGGTTCCTGGGCTCCTGGGCCACAGGTGTGGTGTGAGTGATGGCACTAGCAGTGGCAAGATTACCCTCTGTATCTCGAGTGATGTGTGCTGGTGATAGCAGTGGCTGTGATGGGCAGGACAGGCCACTCTGCAGGCTGCTAAGTGGTATATGCAAGTAGGTACCAGGGTATGCAAGTGGTAGCAGGGTGAGTGGATCCAACTTCAGGCCCGCAAGAGGAGTGTTCAGGTGCCACTAGTGATGGGCTGGGTGATTCCCAGGTCCCAAGATTATATGCTCTGGCATGAGTGGGTGGAGGTGGGCAAAGCCAGTCTGGGCAGGTGGGGGACTCTGGGCACACTAAAATGTGTGATGACTCCACTATTAGAGGCCGTAGAGTTACTGCCACCTTGGGCCAGGTGGCAGCAGCCAGCCATGGGAGTGATGCAGTTGGGGAATGTCAGTAGAGCTCCAGGAATGTGGTGATGCAGGTGCTGTTGAGCCCCAGGGCAGTGTGTGGTGGGTTGGTGGTTGAGCTCTCAAAATTGTACCATGTTATAGCTGTTTATGACTTAGGGTGTGTGGGGCGCCAAGCATGAGCTCCCACTCTGAGAAGTGCCTTTGTGTGCTCCTCAGGCAGCTCTCTGTGTCAGTTTCAGGGCCTACAAAGGTTAAGGGGTTCTTCTGTGGCTAGGATTGCAGTAGTCCACAGTGGAAACGTGGACCACTGGGGATCTCTCACTTACCCTTTTTGGCACTGGGGCGTCTCTCTGCGCTGCCAGCCAATCTCACCTGAACAGGCCACCTCATTTCCCTTTCTGCCTTGCTTTAGGTATATATAGGTGATAGGAATAGCACTTGTGTTTTGAATTCCAGTGGTCTCTGTTGGATGATCTATTTGAAGTATGATTATCTACTCACTATTTTGGTTCTCTGTGGAGAAAGCAAGTACAATGTGCCTCTAGTCATCTGTCTTGAAGCCCCTCTTAGGCTTTGTCTTTTGAACTGAGGGTAAAAAGATGAATAAAGACAAAAACATAGTCCTTTAACAAGATCACATACTAATGGTGATGACAATCATGTAAATGTATTTTAATGTCCATATGAAATGTCATCAATAGAATTGTAAGCCAAATACTAAAGAAACTCAGAAAAAAGAGAATGTAAGTCTGTATTGTAGGAAGTGTGGGTGGAAGGTGGGCATGGCCATGGAAGAAGGAAAGTTTGGAATGTGATGATGGAAGAGTGAACATTTTCCAGATGGGCAAGACATTACTAGTAGAGGGAGCAGCACTTGAATTGTCACGGGGCGTTTGGAGCCTGCAAGTAAGCAGGGGCTAGATCATGAAAAGCCTCTTGTGCCGTGCCTTGTGGAGGTTAAATTTATTTATTAAACGATGCAGGATGACAAATGAATTTAATGGTTTTGCAATTTAACAGGAGGGTGAGACTCGAGGCAAGAAGAACTGTTAGGGGGCTATTTTAACAATTCAGGTAAGAGACAGTGGTTTGTCAGTAGGCATGGGGAGGAAGATGAAGGAATGAAGTCTAGAAATATTTGGGAATTTGCATTTTCAGTACTTGGGTATGCAGGATGAGGGAGGAGAAAGGATCTAGAAGATAACATTTTAAAAAAATGTATTTATTTTAGTTTAGGTGCATACTATATCTGGCATTTCTCCCCGTAAGAAGATTCCATTTTTACGTGGGCATTTGGGTACACAGTATTGCCATTTATTGAGATTTGGAAAATGGAAAATGTGATGGTTAATTTCATGTATCAACTTTGCTAGACTGTCCTATCCAGTTGTTTGGTCAAATACCCATATGGATGTTGCTGTGAAGGTATTTATTTTAGATGTGATTAGTACTTAAATCAGTAGACTGTGAATATAATAGATTACCCTTCATAATGTGAATGGGCCTCATCTAATCAGTTGCAGGTCTTAAGAGAATACAAAGGTCCCATGAAACAGAAGAAATTCTGCCTCCATACTGCCTTCAGACTCAAAATTATGACATCAACTCTTCCCTCAGTCTCCAACCTGCTGGCCTGTCAGACTTGCCAGTCCATAAAATTACATGAGCCAGTTCCTTAAAATGAATGTCTCTATGTATGTATCCTCTTGGTTCTGTTTCTCAGGAGGATTTCTTTTTGTTCAGTTTTGTAGTTGATAAATGCTTTGTTAAACACAAATGTGCCCGAAGGACATTATGTTAAGTGAAGTAAATCAAGCACAGAAAGATAAATACCACATCTTCTCCTTCATATGTGGGTGATATGGTTTATCTGTGTCCCCACCCAAATGTCATCTTGAATTGTAATCCCATGACCCCCACGTGTCAATGAAGGGACCCAGTGTGAGGTGACTGGATCCATGGGGGCAGTTCCTCCATGCTGTTCTCATGATAGTGGGTTCTAAGGAGATCTGATGGTTTTACAAGTGGTTAACAGTTCCTCCTTCACAGACTCACACTCTCTCTTGCCACCTTGTGAAGAAGGTTCCTACTTCCCTTTCTACCATGATTGTAAATTTTCTGTAAGTACTTAATTTCGGGAAGTTCTTTATAGCAGTGTGAAAATGGACTAATACAGTGGGAGCATTTAAAAAAAAAAAAAAAGAGAGAGCCCAGAGAGATAAAGAGTAGAATTGTGGTTGTGAGTGTATAGGAAGTTTTGGGAGAAGGAGGACAAGAAAAGGTGGGTTAATGGATACAAAAATACAGCTAGAGAGAGTGGGATGTCCAGCTTCCAAACAGGAACAATTTTAGCATCAGTGACAAAAAAGAGAATTAATTATAGGCAATGTTGAGAAAAGCAAGAAGAGTTTTGTTGAGAACTGTGTCCAGTGTTACACTATGAAAAAGGGAGGATAGCATAGGATGGGTCAAATCTCCATGGTCTCCGTGGGTGCAAGACTGGTCAGGACATTGAATTCTCTTACCCAGATGCCAATAAGAATAAAGGTACCACC